TAAACATTTTAATAAGAATAATAAAATATTAAAATACCAAATATTCGGTAAAATGCACATCCCCACAACAAAAAATGTCTGTCCAGAGAAGGGTTGGTAATTTCGGCTTCAGAATTCCAAAGGGGGCTCTAAAACACATGATGGGTATATTTTGGTATATTGTAAGGAATGGGCAGATCAAGCAAGCCAAGAATTGGGTTCTCATGCCGTATTGACTAGGAATAGTTTTTCTTAGCTCAAACTTGGTTCGCCATGGAGCTTAAATTTTGTTTGAAATATTGTGATCCCATAATTGTAAAAGTAACTCCCTGTCTACATTCCTCGATTCGGATTTAAAAAAAAAAACGGAAAGGATCGTTGTGAGGTGCTGTGGCGACCGCAACTCTACATTTATACCCGATACTAAGTCAGTATAGCTCTGACATCTAACAGGAGTGTGGATACCAAAATTGGTTGCTCTAGCCTTAATAGTCTCTGAGATTTGTGGATGCCCCAGATTTTCGTCCTTTGCGGGGGCGGAAGGGGGTGTGGCGAAATTTTGAAACTAGCTCGTCAAGGTCCGATATCACAGGAGTGTGGATCAAAAATTTGGTTGCTCCAGCTTTTATAGTCTCTGAGATCTAGGAACTCACTTTTAGCAATAACCATGAAACCGACCATGAAACCTGTGTGTTAGAGAGAGACAGAGCGAAGAGAATGAAATTTTTTTCATCATTTTGGCTGTAATAATTATACGATCTAGTTCAGATTTTGCAGTCTAGAAGATATAATCATTCTCTACGATTCAGCGTTTTCTCGTATCTTTGAAATTGTGGATGCCACAGATTTTCGACCTTTGTGGGGGCCTGTAACAGTGACATGTCACAGAAGTCTGGATACAAACTGTCGTTGCTCTAGCTCTTATAGCCTCTGAGCACTAGGCGCTCATAGGGACGGACAGACAGATATGGCTCTATCGACTTGGCTTTTGATGCTGATCAAGAATATATATACATTATGGGGTCAGAAACGGTTTCTTCTGGACGTTTCACACATCCACTTTCACCACTTATCTAATATACCCCTATACTCTGCGAGTACTAGATATAAAAATTTACTGACTCAATATGGCAGAAAAAAATTAGAACAAAAATTTCGACTCAAAATACATACTCCTTTTGAGACATTTCAGGTATTCAAAATTGAACAAGTTATACCTTTTTACAATGTTAAAATTTAAGAAGAAATTAGAAACCTGATGAAATTTTGTTACATTTACATTCATCTTCTATTTTTCATGGCTTTACACAATTACCCAAGATATCTGCTGTTCATTGAAATAGTGTTGCTTTCGAACAAAATCAAAAAAAGAAACTCATATTAAAACCTATGTTATATGTTCTGTATGAGCTGCTTTACCCCGGCCTGGCATGGGTCAGTAAGGTCCTGCCAACGTTTCAATAGGATTTGAGCCAATAATTTTAATAATTCTTAAACCACTTGCCAAAATTGAGTTCAGGTTGACGGATTTGCAGTTGGTAGAATTCCTTTGACCTTCGGCTATAAGATTTCGATGAGTTTAAGATCCAGTGACTGAGCTAATCATGGCAGAACGTCGATATTTTCGGAATATTTTTTGTTCAGGGCATCAGTAGATAATTGCCGCGCACTCGATGTCGCGCGTTTGGCGGTGCGCTCGGAAGATCCACAATCCACACGGCGTTCACCGCAGCGTAACGCTTAAGATAAGTTAGTTACGCTCCCACCACCGTTTTAACCGGCGCGCTACCAACACGTTACACCCAAGTGATCCAGTAGCTATTTCTTAATAATCTTGAACTTGAATCCCCCGCACATATTTATGTACATATGTCTATGGCTACTTATACATTTTGAATTAGCATATACTTGAACATATGCATACATATATATATTCACTCATGCCTTCATAGTTATATACCGTTTTACCCGTTGTTTCTCGTCAAAAGGGTGGTTCGTTAACCGAAGCCGCGGTAAATACCACTTACAGCCATACATACATACATGCAAGCAAAAGAAGCAGTGCATTCCTTTCGTTTTTTCGCTTCTCCACCGGTTGCTTGCGTTGTATTTGTTGGGATAGTTTTCGATGCCGCGCTAAAACTTAATGGAACGCCAACAACGCCCTACCTTGCATTTCGAGGGTATATTTTTTGTTTAACTGCCGGTTGCAACCGACTCTATACATTGGTACCTCGTGCCTCAATATTATTGTTCGTCCACAATTTTCGCTCTTGGTTAAACATTTATTGATCGTAGTATTTATATCTGCACATTCCGGCCACATTTTACAATTTCCATAATATTGTTACGTTTATACAGTTCGTATTTTCTGGGTTGAGAATATGCTTTCGATGTCTTGTTGCTCCCCTCGGCAGTCCCTCTTACGGTTCCGAGCACTATGGACCAATCCGCAGCCATTTTCACACGGTCCAAGTTTGCCTTCGCTGCAAGCAGACTGACCCGCTTCGATCAGAAGCTCGACGCTCCAGATGCTAGCACTCCAACCTGCTCGCTCTCCCAAGTCCATCAAGATCAACTCCGAAGCCTGTGGGCAAAGGTGGACGCTGAGTTCGAGGCCTGTTCGGTGGCGATGTCGGAAGCGGATCCAAAGGGTGGTAGCTGATGTCCAAGGGATGTACGATGACTGCTACACGGTCTACGCGTAATGCCTTGCCGAACTGAACGATCAGCTCGAGCCCCCGACTGTCTCTCACACGCCGCAACTGGCCGTTCAAGTGCAGACTTCCGGCGGTAGCCGCCATTCTCCATGTGACACTGGGACTACCAGCAGTGGCCCACGTTCCGAGACCTGAGGTCTCCATTCTCAATTGCCGCTTAGTCAAAGAAGATCTGCAGTTTTTCCATCCGCTCTCTGACTAAGCCGGGCTTACAACTAAATGCCGCAACCTACGTTATTCCGGAATTGGCCCTATGTGGTGGTTCTCTTGAGAAAATTACCCTGGTGGATGATATTGGTGTTATATTACGCGCCAAGCTAAAGTTTTCTAAACACATGTCGACAATGGTAAATATGGCCATGGGCGTACTTCGGTTTATAAAGAGGTGGTCAAAAGAATTTGACGACCCATATATAACAAAGACTCTCTATACCTCGCTAGTTCGTACAAAGTACACCAGGACCGTATAGAATCAGTACAGAAAAACTCTTTACTCTTTGCTCTGCGGGGCCTTAACTGGGATACGGGTGTGAGACTTCCATCTTACTCTAGTAGACTGCTATAAGTAAACCTCCCATCCTTAGTTAGCCGTACGAAAATTCTTGGTGTGATTTTTGTGCACAACTTGATCAGGGGTGACATAGACAGGCCGCATAAACTTCACGATTCCTATTAGACTCACTAGAACTGTTATAGCGTTGTTCCTTCCACTTTGTAGATCGAATTATTCTTTGCATGAACCGTTTAGGGTCTTATGCTTGGATTATAATTCCCTCTACCATATTATTTCCCCCACTAAATCTCTTCCTCTTATTAAGTTACTCACACACCTTAACCTTACACACCTTTCTAGTAATTAGAAATTGTAGTGGTATTTGTATTTGTATTTTGAATGCATGCTTAGTTTCTTAATTAGTGAAGTGAGTCTGACCAACTTAAATTTTTCATGTTTTTTACTAGACTAGAAGCTATTTTTACAAAAAATAATCATGACCATAGCGATAAGCCTTCTTTATATTTTCGGATACCTTGATTTTTAATATTAAGCAGTCGATGTTTTTTGACTTATATCCCTTTTTGTAAATATTTTTTTTCGAATTTGCTCAAAACTTTTTAACTGGCCTTAACTGAGGCACATTTGCAGGTTTTGCAGCTTAGGCACGAACTCAATGCTTTGTTAAGTGCTTAACAAATGAGTGGGAAGCAGATCAAGGATAGTGGTGTTCAGTCTTCTTCAGATGAGACAAAGTTGCGACAATGTTTGAAATAACCAGAGAAATGTTGAAAAAACCCACAATGTTGCGAGAATGTTAGAAATAAACAGTGTAACGTTGAAAAAACGGACGCATGGTATGAGAAATGCTACATTGTGAAAACAGTCAAGGAAAACACTTAGAAAAGAAAGGTTTATCCAACGGCTTCGAGTTGTGCGATTATATGTGGTTAGTCTACACGTAATATAACATACGGCTTTTCCTGTGATTACGGATTTTCGGAAATTCCGCCAAGAATTTGCCGAAAAACCAACAAAGGTATTCCCATATATATGGGAGGATCTGAACCCAAAACAAGCAAAAAAAAAAAGTGGCCAAGAGGCTTCAGAGTTTTCTGGCATAATGAGCAGACGCTATTATCATTCGCATAATACCTATCAACAAATTTTTTAAGCGTCGGAAGACAATTGTCCTTGTAATTTTGCGCATTTACAGCCAATACTGCCAATATGTTGGTTTTTTTCATCTGGTACAGAGAAAAGTTTGATCAGGTCTTCTGGTGTCTGCATATGTAGTATAGAGAAAAATATTTTTTAACAATTTTTTTACAGTCGGTCCGGTTCAGCGCATTTTATCATAATTTATTGTACCAATACGTTGTATTAAATGTAATTCGTTACATAATTACCCATACTAATAAATCGGTATGTGTATATAAATGGAGTAAAAAAATTTACGTGATATCATAAATTGAGAATGGCTGAGCCGATTTGTCTCATTTGGTTTTCAGCTGTTTAAATTTTCCAGGAGAAGGTTTATACGAAAACACTCCCGAAAAAATGTATTTTTTATTTTTTTTTTTTAATACTAGCCGTAGTAGCCGTATTAGCGGAGAATCCATTGCCATAGTCGGAGATCAGGTCAAAACTCTTTATATTCTCCATCAAGAAACAATCAACTGAGTTGTCTACATTTCTTATCCGTGCAACCACAATGAGCGCCACAGCAAAACGAGGCAGGGCCGGCTAGTTAAACAACAAAAATCGAAGTATAGAGGCCATATAAAGAAAATTTCGTTTTGTATAAATAGACTTAAAAAAAAAATTTAATAACGTCAATTATTATGTATTCTTCTTTTTTATGTGTAATTTAATTTACAAGGACTTGGAGGAAACTAATATATATTTAAATACTAATATTTAGTATATTGGCTCAAAAAATACTTTTCTCAAAATTGTATGTCTTGTAACTCATTTTTAGCCTGCCCTAGAATCTTAAATGTTTGCGTCCGATAGGGTAGGGTAGCCTTAAAGCAATTTTGATCAGCGTTGGCGTCAGCAGTAGTAAATGTTAAGGAGGGTATTGGCATTTGCCTCATGCGTTGCGGGCGCTGCTGATGATATTGCTGGTTTGGATGAGTCTGATAACGTCTCTGGCAGTACATTTTTGCAGAGTTAGGAGGTTCAATGTCAACAAAAAACGGCTGTAGGTTGCGACTGTGCTCTTCAAAAATGGTCTCCATATGCAACATACACTCTTGCAGTTGAACCTATTTATATAAAAATAAAATTTAGTCAATGCCTTGGACTTCACTCTTTCTTATACAAACTTGTTCGATGCTGGTTAAGTCCGTAAGTAGACCTAATAAAAAGGGAAGATTATGGCCTGTGCGTAGATGCCATTTTAGCCCACTCATTGAAGCGGCTATACTCGATGCTGCTATTGTGCTAGCTGGGTACTTTGCAAATTGATGTTCTGCGAATAACAGTTAGTATATAAACATTTTAATAAGAATAATAAAATATTAAAATACCAAATATTCGGTAAAATGCACATCCCCACAACAAAAAATGTCTGTCCAGAGAAGGGTTGGTAATTTCGGCTTCAGAATTCCAAAGGGGGCTCTAAAACACATGATGGGTATATTTTGGTATATTGTAAGGAATGGGCAGATCAAGCAAGCCAAGAATTGGGTTCTCATGCCGTATTGACTAGGAATAGTTTTTCTTAGCTCAAACTTGGTTCGCCATGGAGCTTAAATTTTGTTTGAAATATTGTGATCCCATAATTGTAAAAGTAACTCCCTGTCTACATTCCTCGATTCGGATTTAAAAAAAAAAACGGAAAGGATCGTTGTGAGGTGCTGTGGCGACCGCAACTCTACATTTATACCCGATACTAAGTCAGTATAGCTCTGACATCTAACAGGAGTGTGGATACCAAAATTGGTTGCTCTAGCCTTAATAGTCTCTGAGATTTGTGGATGCCCCAGATTTTCGTCCTTTGCGGGGGCGGAAGGGGGTGTTGCGAAATTTTGAAACTAGCTCGTCAAGGTCCGATATCACAGGAGTGTGGATCAAAAATTTGGTTGCTCCAGCTTTTATAGTCTCTGAGATCTAGGAACTCACTTTTAGCAATAACCATGAAACCGACCATGAAACCTGTGTGTTAGAGAGAGACAGAGCGAAGAGAATGAAATTTTTTTCATCATTTTGGCTGTAATAATTATACGATCTAGTTCAGATTTTGCAGTCTAGAAGATATAATCATTCTCTACGATTCAGCGTTTTCTCGTATCTTTGAAATTGTGGATGCCACAGATTTTCGACCTTTGTGGGGGCCTGTAACAGTGACATGTCACAGAAGTCTGGATACAAACTGTCGTTGCTCTAGCTCTTATAGCCTCTGAGCACTAGGCGCTCATAGGGACGGACAGACAGATATGGCTCTATCGACTTGGCTTTTGATGCTGATCAAGTATATATATACATTATGGGGTCGGAAACGGTTTCTTCTGGACGTTTCACACATCCACTTTCACCACTTATCTAATATACCCCTATACTCTGCGAGTACTAGATATAAAAATTTACTGACTTAATATGGCAGAAAAAAATTAGAACAAAAATTTCGACTCAAAATACATACTCCTTTTCAGACATTTCAGGTATTCAAAATTGAACAAGTTATACCTTTTTACAATGTTAAAATTTAAGAAGAAATTAGAAACCTGATGAAATTTTGTTACATTTACATTCATCTTCTGTTTTTCATGGCTTTACACAATTACCCAAGATATCTGCTGTTCATTGAAATAGTGTTGCTTTCGAACAAAATCAAAAAAAGAAACTCAAATTAAAACCTATGTTATATGTTCTGTATGAGCTGCTTTACCCCGGCCTGGCATGGGTCAGTAAGGTCCTGCCAACGTTTCAATAGGATTTGAGCCAATAATTTTAATAATTCTTAAACCACTTGCCAAAATTGAGTTCAGGTTGACGGATTTGCAGTTGGTAGAATTCCTTTGACCTTCGGCTATAAGATTTCGATGAGTTTAAGATCCAGTGACTGAGCTAAACATGGCAGAACGTCGATATTTTCGGAATATTTTTTGTTCAGGGCATCAGTAGATAATTGCCGCGCACTCGATGTCGCGCGTTTGGCGGTGCGCTCGGAAGATCCACAATCCACACGGCGTTCACCGCAGCGTAACGCTTAAGATAAGTTAGTTACGCTCCCACCACCGTTTTAACCGGCGCGCTACCAACACGTTACACCCAAGTGATCCAGTAGCTATTTCTTAATAATCTTGAACTTGAATCCCCCGCACATATTTATGTACATATGTCTATGGCTACGTATACATTTTGAATTAGCATATACTTGAACATATGCATACATATATATATATTCACTCATGCCTTCTTAGTTATATACCGTTTTACCCGTTGCACTATGGTCCAGAATTCGTTTTTTTTGGCATAAAGTCGAAATTTTTATGTGAATGGATTACGTTTTTTCTTGCAAATTCTCAAAGTTAATTCATCATACATATTAAAAATGAAAAAAAAAAAATTATTTAGCTTCCCTGAAGATTTTGGCGAGCTTTTGAAAGTGAACAATCGATCAACTGATTGTGATTGTGTGATTGTGTAAACTACTTGTTTACATTTTTACGTGGCGATCGAGTAAATTTGCTCAAATAAATTCGGCTAAAAATGGAAAATGAAGATAAAGGTATGTAGTATCTAATGTATTTAGTTATTTTATGTGTAGTCTCAAGATTTAAGTGTTGTGCAATGGCCAATTTATGTGTATTTTTGTAGAAAATTTAACTGCGTCCCCTGTGTTTCGTAGAATATAACAAATGAACTGAGTTCTGCTGAGAAAAACTAACTATGTGAGTTTGTACCTACAAATGTTGTAATTGACTGGAAAGTAACAACTTTGGCCCCTTTTCTTTAAATTTGTTAATATTCAGGAAAGTTCGAGTTTTTGCATAGCGATCTCATCGATATTTGGCGCAACAACAATCGACAAAAAAAATCTGTCTCACATTGGATTTACAGTAAAATCAATAACAACCATTTGGAAAATGAAAAAAAAGAGAAATAGATAAAAAAATCAGTAATTTTGAATCCTTCATTAAAAGAAACCTTCTGAAGTGCAACAAAATGATGGAACGGTTTATGACCACCCATGCTAAATGGATGGCTTCTAAAATAACAATTATTGTTGATGAAAATTGAAAGACACCAAAGAAAATCTTAATCGCAATTTCGTGTAACTATTATATAAATTCGGAAAAATTTCGTTCTTTTTGTGAGAGTACTTTTTGCTTATATATGCAAACATATCCGTGGTACCCAATGTCTCCTACGATTCATAAAGTATTAGTCCACGGTTTTCAAATAAACAATTCGACGTTGGTTCCACTTGGATGTTTAGGAGAAAATGCTTCAGAGGCACGGAATAAAATGTACAAAAAAGACAGATTATCACATGCAAGAAAAAATAGTCGGGTAAATACTATGACTGACATTTTTTATAGAGCGATAGATTCCTCGGATCCATTACTATCGAGTGTCTGTTTAAAGGAGAGGGAAAGGAAAAACAAGAAAAAGCCTCTTTCCAAAGAAGTATTAAGCCTTCTGGAGTTGCCATCTACCGAAAGCAAAGATTCATGTGAATACGAAAATGACTCGCAATCTGATTCTGATTCTGATTATAATATATACGACATAGAACTAGAAGAAGAAGATGAGGTCATTTAAGAAAAAAATTAGTGTGTAATAAATTTCCAAAGTTTATATATAAATATAGATAATTTGAAATAAGATTTTATGTATAATGATTTAACAACAAAATGTAATAAATTTTAAGTATGTAATTTAAACTTCCGACTTTATGCAAAAAAAAAAAACATGAACAAGTACAAGTATACAAGTATATGTACAAAATTTAAAAGCTCTAGCTTTAATTTCGAGCTCTGTGTTAAACAAATCTGAGGTGCTCTGGGGAAGGGGGTCGATGGCGTGGTCGAATCTAAAACAAAAAAAAAACGAAATTTTATAAAAATACTCAAAATAATTGTGCAAAGTTTCAAGGCTCTAGCTTTAAAACTAGACTTCATGCCAAAAAAAACGACTTCTGGACCATAGTGCGTTGTTTGAATCTCGTCGAAAGGGTGGTTCGTTAACCGAAGCCGCGGTAAATACCACTTACACTTACATACATACATGCAAGCAAAAGAAGCAGTGCATTCCTTTCGTTTTTTCGCTTCTCCACCGGTTGCTTGCGTTGTATTTGTTGGGATAGTTTTCGATGCCGCGCTTAAACTTAATGGAACGCCAAGCAACGCGCTACCTTGCATTTCGAGGGTATATTTTTTTTTAACTGTTTGCAACCTACTCTATACATTGTTACCTCGTGCCTCAATATTATTGTTCGTCCACAATTTTCGCTCTTGGTTAAACATTTATTGATCGTAGTATTTATATCTGCACATTCCGGCCACATTTTACAATTTCCATAATATTGTTACGTTTATACAGCTCGTATTTTATGGGTTGAGAATATGCTTTCGATGTCTTGTTGCTCCCCTCGGCAGTACCTCTTACGGTTCCGAGCACTATGGACCAATCCGCAGCCATTTTCACACGGTCCAAGTTTGCCTTCGCTGCAAGCAGACTGACCCGCTTCGATCAGAAGCTCGACGCTCCAGTTGCTAGCACTCCAACCTGCTCGCTCTCCCAAGTCCATCAAGATCAACTCCGAAGCCTGTGGGCAAAGGTGGACGCTGAGTTCGAGGCCTGTTCGGTGGCGATGTCGGAAGCGGATCCAAAGGGTGGTAGCTGATGTCCAAGGGATGTACGATGACTGCTACACGGTCTACGCGTAATGCCTTGCCGAACTGAACGATCAGCTCGAGCCCCCGACTGTCTCTCACACGCCGCAACTGGCCGTTCAAGTGCAGACTTCCGGCGGTAGCCGCCATTCTCCATGTGACACTGGGGACTACCAGCAGTGTATCACGTTCCGAGACCTGAGGTCTCCGTTCTCAATGCCGTAGCCGATCAGTCAAAGAAGATCTGCAGTTTTTCCATCCGCTCTCTGACTAAGCCGGGCTTACAACTAAATGCCGCAACCTATGTTATTCCGGAATTGGCCGCGGAATATTCGCGGCCAATCGCATCCGATCTCGCAAAGTTTCATGAGAGACTTGCCGAGACTTTCATGGGCGGACCCCACATTTTTCAAGAGCTCTCCAATCTATCTCCTGATTGGAGCTGATGTCCTACCATCCGTCCCGCTAAGCGACTTGCAGACCAACATATGTGGATCTGCCCTCAGACAAGAAACAGTTTTCGGTTGGGTACTCACCCAGTACCTAATGTGACAAATCAAATTTTATCCGTTTCAAAGTAGAATTTCCAGACTACCTATCAAACTGGTAGAAGACTCGGGGTCATACTACGAAAGTAATTTCCTTCCAGCCTCCTCCGCAGAATTTGTCGAACTGTCTCCTACGCTGGACCGAAGGGAATATTTCCAAAATAATAACGGAATGAAATATAAACGCTCCGTGCCGAATTCAAGCCGGCACTTAAATGTAAATCCGTTTTCAGACCAACATGGCCTCATCAGTAATTTTCAATGTTCTAAATGTGCCCTTAACCCGTTCTAAGCTCCTTACTAATACTTTGACTTTTTTATTCCATCCTAGTTTTTTGCATCCAGACGGAGAGCCTCCGGATTAGCTTGTGCCGTTGCCGGGTCTGCCGAGGGGTCCATCCTACGGACCTGCCACCATTTTCGTCGCCTGAGCTTCGAGAAGAGACTCCGAGCCGTCCTAATTAATATATATTGCGTCAACTGCCTGGCTCACCAACATTCCGACAAGGATTCTCGCTGTGGCGGGCTGTACCGGGTGTGTGGGGGGGCTCGGAAGATTCACGATCCACACGGTGTTCGCCGCAGCGTAAGGCGTCCCACCCCCGTTTAAATCGACCGCGCTACCTACACGTTACACATGCATACCCTACGAAACCACAAACAAATATATGAATATATGAAGATTATTGGAAATATTCAATCCTGACCTCGTTCAAGTACTCTGCGTACACAATTGTTAAATTTTGCATCTAATGTTCAATCTGAATACTATAAATGTTCAATTTGAATACTATAAATGTCTCAAAAATAAATTTGAAAGTAGTGACATCTATTTCATTGTACATTCATTTTGACATCAACCTCCTCTGACAGACATCTTATTTATAATTTAATTTAATAATTTTTCGTTTCACTTTTTTTTTTGCGCAATTTATTATACGCTCCGTAGGAGTATTTCTTTTTTTTCTTTATTTATAAAATGTTGTATTGTACTAAAATGAATTTAATAATTTATAATATTTGTGCATATATATATTGTTTTTTTCTTTTTTACAGTTAAATGTAAAGTCACTTTCGATTAAGTTTCATTACCACTCACAAGAAGGTTTTCATTGGATCGTTAGTTGGTGATTAGTGAACGAAAGGTATTGTGTGCTGATGAAGACCTATTGACTTACCTTTGGCTGCCATCGATATAAAGGCCTGAGCATGTTGTCTAACTTTAGCAAAGCTTATATCAGGGATTTTTGTAATATTTATTGGCACTCGTCTAATTAAAAGATCAAGAAAGTCCAAGGGGGTCACAGATGAAAGGTCCCATCCCAGTCGGCTTAGCACGTACAGTTCCCATTTCTTAAGGTTAGAGAAGAGAATCAAACTGTTAAAAAAAGGAAAACTGCATTGTGTATTAAGAAGTCGAGGACAATAAAATGTAGTTTCCTACTTATGTAATTTTTCTATAAATTTTTTAATAATAAAGGAACTGATCCAGATTCGGAAGATTCGCCATAGATTTTTGCACTTGTTGTGGCAACGCCTTGGCCTTCTAGATATGGGCGGCACTGGCCGTCAGCCATCGGGTGCTACAGAGGAATAAACGGATGAGAGGTCTGCTCGTCACAACTGTAAGCTCGGATCGGGGCACAGGCGTCTCAGGCTCATGGCTTGCCCTGAATCCAAGGCGACTGTGCTTCACGCCATAGGATACAGATGGTCACGAGCAAACAGGCACCCGCCGTAACTCTACACACCGGTGGAAGTGCGACTATACTCTCCCCGTGATGCTGGCTAATTGTAGTCGGGGGAAAAAGAGAAGAAAACTCTCAGTGAAATAACCCCAATTCAAGGTGACACTGTCATATGTCGAGGGATGCATGGCCGAGGGGGTGATCGGTCATTAATATGCGGACTCTGGATACCTGCTTACCTCCAGTTTAAATAAGACTTCCCGGGGCACGCGGGCTATGCCCCGGCCGACTAACCCCTTCCCGCCTACTCGTGGGACCAACAATGCCAAATTGAAAGATAAATATCAAAAACACCGCAAAGGAGCTCGGTACTCCTCCTGCCGGAGGGAAAAGACCATCCCTCTTCAAACGCATCTGGGAAACTAGTGCCCAAATCGACGGGGTTACCGGGGTGACTGCCATGCAGAGCAATATCGCGGCAGACCCCTTGGACCCATTGACAGCCCCGGCAGCCTGCGCTTCTGCCTCGAAAGATAGGCCCAAGATTCAAGACAAGAGACGTGCAGCCTTCATCCTGGGCAACGAATCGTGGCGATGGGCCAAGACGGTCCTTCCCGACTACCAGCCAGCAAAAGCTGGCAAGGCCGCAGCCAAGGCCCCAAGCAAGCAACAACGCTCTGCGGAGGACACCACCACGCAAGTCCAACCTTCATTATTAAAAACCGCAAGGAGGTCCTGAACCTCACACTTGCCTCTCATGAGATTCATGGGAACATCGTATCCTGGAGGGTCCTGGAAGAGCACTCCTTCTCGGACCACAGGTACGTGGAAACCGTATTCTCTTTTACACTACCGAAACCAGCTCAATTCCGGAACCTCAGGGGGACAAACTGGTCTCGGTACTCAGACCACCTCTGTCGTGTTCTCCCTGAGACTTCAAGGAGGAGTTTTCCAGGGAGGCCACGACTCATCTCGTTAAAACATTTACCGACGCCTGCAATGAGGCGGTCGATAAATCCTGCCCCTCTGGCAAGACCAGAGGCCGGAAGAAACCTGAATGGTGGACTCCTAAACTGGGGGAACTACGGAAAGCCTCCCTGAGACTCTTTAACACAGCTAAGGCTGAGAACGTTGAGCGGATCTGGGCCGAATAAAAGGTCAGTCTGTCAACTTATAATAAAGAACTTAGGAAAGCCAAACGTGCCTCATGGCGTAAGTTCTGTAGCGAAATCGAGAATAGCTCAGAAGCCTTGCGCTTGCGCAAAGTTCTCTCGAAGACTATACCCACTCTGGGCTACCTGAAGAATGCCGACCAATCGTGGACAACGTCCAGCAATGAGTCGCTACATCTTCTCCTCAACACCCACTTCCCCGGCTGCGATGAAAACAGACCACACTACTTCCGTGGCCTCAAGTGATATTAAGAACCTGCTAAGCCAGCAGAACATTTCCTGGGCAATCAAAAGCTTCAAGCCATACAAGACTGCGGGGCCAGATGGCCCAACTCTCCCTCTCCCAACTATCCCTGCCCAACTGATTCAAGTTGGACAAAAAGCCACTAATTGGCTCAAAAGGATATACGAGGGAATCTTCTCCCATGGATATATCCCGGAAGCCTGGCTTCATACCAAAGACGTCTTCATTCCTAAGGCAGGCAAGCCCTCGCGTACTGCCCCCAAAGATTTCAGACCCATAAGTCTATCGTCTTTCCTTCTGAAGACAATGGAACGGCTTCTGTGGATGCATCTCACGGTGAATATTCCGCCTAATCTCAGACTTCCAGCATGCCTATCGGAAGGGAAGATCCACCGAAACGGCCCTACACACGATCACATCGATCATAGAAGCGTCTCTAACTGTAAGGAGTACACCCTAGTAGCCTTCCTTGACATAGAAGGCGCCTTTAATAACATCCTCTCGACCGCCATCACGGGTGCACTGACGGACCTGGGGGTTGACTCTCGGACGGTGAGCCTGATCGATCAGATGCTGCAATGCAGGACGGTTGAGGCATCACTGGAGACGTCAACGTGCATCAGATTTGTCAGCAGAGGCACACCGCAGGGCGGAGTCCTCTCGCCCCTCCTATGGAACGTGGCAGTGAACTGCCATAGATAGAGGGGGGTGGCTGCCGCGTGGTGGAGTATGCGGACGATGTTGCCATGGCATTCTGCGGTAAATTTCCGCAGACGTTGTGTGAGTGCATGACAAGTACTCTCACGAAAATGTCGAAATGGGCAGACAAATGCGGGTTAGGCGTCAACCCGTCTAAAACGGAACTGGTGCTTTTCACTAGGAAGTACAAAGTTCCGGCACTGATTCCCCCAAGACTATGTGGGGAAACGCTAGTCTTCAGCAACAACGCCAAGTATCTTGGCCTAATCCTCGATAGAAAGCTCGATTGGAAATTGAGCATAGAGGATAGAGTAAAGAAGGCCACAGTGGCCCTCTATACTTGTAGAAAACCATCGGACTAAAATGGTGAATTACCCCTATATAGTTCGGTGGCTTTACACCGCCATCATACGACCAATTATATGAGGTGCTGGTATGGTGGCCAGCCTTAGACAAAAGAACATGCCTCAATAAACTCAGCAGAGTTCAACGCATGGAAGAGCTATGCATAACTGGCACTACCTTAAGTGAAGCCGCCCTCGATACTATGCTGGACCTCCTTCCCGTAGACCTCATGGGAAAGAAGGTTGCAACACTTTCCGCCCTCAGAATGAGGGAAGCCAAACTATGGAAAGTATCCGCATTTGGTCACTCTGGGAATCCTGACAAGACTACCGCAATCACCAAAGAGGACAGATTATTCAACGACTGTAAGCGACTGCCGCAGGTCTCTGCAAGAGATCGCAGAGCAGCTAGCTATCTTCCTTACATGGGTCCCCGGACATAGGGACATCGTGGGGAATGATGCCACCGAGGAGCTAGCCAGGCAGGGCACTACAATTCCTCTCTTATCAGAGAGGGAGTAGGTAGCGGTGCTTTTGGCTACGTGTAGGCTTCTTACGCACGAAATATTCGAGCAAAAGGCGAACGGGAGATGGCAGCAAACCATCTCCTGTAAAGTCTCGAGATCGATATGGCCTCATCGATCTAAAAAACGCTGGGCGGAGCTATATAGGCTCAGTAGAGTACAATGCTCTGCAGTTATCCAAGCAATCACGGGACACTGGCAGATAGGCCTCACGCCGCTAGGCTGTCAATCCCTCACAATGACTTCTGAAGGAGTTGTCGCGACGAGGAAGAGGAGGAATCGATCTCCCACTTCTTCTGTCATTGCTCGGTCCATGGAAATCGCCGTCTTCGGTTTCTCGGGGCCCCTTTTCTCACAGACATTTCGGACCTTTTCGAAATCAAACCTGAGACCTTGTCTAAATTTATCCAAGCCGCCGGATGGGACTGCTCTTAATTTGCAACAGTTTGCTCTCCACGGTTTTAGGCATTGAGAAGGGGCACACGCCCATGCGGCATCACAACGGACGTTGTTACAGGTCCAAGTGAGCTTGGGGGGTTTCATCGCTCCCACTCAGGCTACCGCCTAAACCTAACCTAACCTAGGGACGGCACTGACGGTCGGCTCCCTCGCGACAAATTGCACTAGTCGGAGAACGAGCTCAAGGACAGCTTTCTGCAGGAGCTGGAGGAGAGCGCGGGCACCGCCTAAATTTGGGGACGCCCAGTGGCAGTAAGGCAGAGTGAAAGTCATCACATGCCAAGAAGCTCGTACGGCGGCCCTCTACACGAAGTCGTTGGCTGCGCTACCCCCGGAAATCTACCCCGAGCCTAATTAAAGGTCGTAAAATGGGAAGATGTTCCCAGCAAAGCGAGACCTAGAGGATGCGTTTTGGCAAAGCCTGCGGAGCCGGAGAAGATTCCGAAGAGAGGCACCAGTTGATCCTCGTCATAAACGAAAAGTCGTTAGATGTTATCGGATAGACGGGCTATGGCTAGAAAAAGGTAACAATAGGTATCTGGTTTCAATAGGTTTCACCCCTATTCCCCTATCCCGCCTCGAAGGTGGAAATCAATCGTCCACCATATCGGTCGTAGCATCAGTGGTGGCAGACGATATCCTGGACGGCTACGTGTCTGACAAAAGCGACATAGTCAGGTTTCGGAGATTGATCGATGCCGATAAGACAATGGTAGAGGGAAATCTCAGTTATGGCACTGGCACACCTGTAAAGAAAACCAGGATCCCTGGTCTCCGGTCTGAGAACTCAAGACTGTAGCCCACACGTAGATGCCACCACAGGTAAAACACGTACTTGCATTCTTGCGCTTACTTATGCTCCCAAATTTCAGCAATGAAAACCAAACATCAGTGAACATCGAAGGCCAGGAGAGCTCACTAAGGATCTATTCAACATACATGGGTCACGAACAACATCACAGACTGAGAAGCCAAGTAAACCGTCTTAATTGCAGGGCTCGACAAAAATAAGTTTTAAATTTTCTACTGACTCAGATGGTCTTATTAAACTTGGAGGATCCCACGTTTATCATTAAAAACTATAACACCGCGAAGAAGCCCTGAACCTAACCCTTGCCTTTTACAAGGCACAGAGTTACATAGTATCCTGCAGTCCCTGAAGAGCATAGACCTGGATAGAAGAGCTACGTGGACCATAGATACGTGAAAACTATATCTTCTTT